ATTCACCTTATTTCATTGTAGATATTTCTTTGAACCTTACGCTTGTCACTGAAACAAAGTTCCTTAAGACTTAAGATAAATTAAAAATTTATCTTAAATTTATCTTAAATTCTTAAATTTAAAGAATTCACAGGTAGAAAGAAACACAGTCACAAGTGTGGAATGAAAGTGATGTAAAAACACGGTATATTCTACAGATTAACTAGTATAATCATACATGAAGCTTCGGAAAGGAGAAATGAAGATATTTGGATAAGATATATTTATTTTTTGCAATTCTGATAGTTAACTACATTAAATTAATTACTAAGTGTCTCTAGTGATACTCCCCAAATCTTAAATATAGAGGACAATGAACTGTGTTTTTTAAAAAGTGTTAAAGCATTTCATGTAGCATTTATTAGATATAATTCAATATGCTCACTCTTATTAATCAAGACTTCTTCATATCCAGGTTTTGAACTCTTCTTTAAGAGTTCTTCCTTTTGTATGTACATGGCACTCACATGTAAAAAGTATGAAGTACATTTATGCTCGATAGTATTTTCATATAGTAGCATGTTATATAAGTCTCTGTTAAATTTTTGTCCTATAAACCCCCCAGACTTCCAAACACAAACTTTGTATAGACAAAGCACCTGCATTCCCACTTCTGTTACTTCTAATGATTCTACTTTTGTTTATTTATAGAGTGTCAACTTTCATCCTTCACATTTTTGATTTTTTATGGTATCATTAATCACAGAGCATCTGTGCAATAAATCTACAAATTAAATGATCTATTTTTTTTTTAGTTGTCTCTAATGTTGAATGAATAAAAGATAGTTAAAAAGAATTCTTCGCTGGCCCTCCCTGGTGGCACAGCGGGTTAATGCACTGCAAAAGAAGCTTAAGCTACTTCCGCATGAGTTCGATCCCTGCCTGCCCAGGAGGAGATCTGGCGTGGCAGACCTCTCCTGACCCACCCGCTGCTCCCCTCAGCAGTGTACTTTGTCACTATTCTGCTCTCAACTCTGTCCTTGGTGAATTCTCTCACCCTCTGCATCTCTGACCTGTATCCCAGATCTGTATGAATAAATAAATAAATCTTTAAAAAAAAAAAAAAAGAATTCTTTGCTGCCTTAAGTTTTCCTGGGAGGTTAACAGATGTGGTGTGAAGTGTCAAGGGATGGCTAGGGTCTACTACATATAAACCATTCCATAAATATCTAAGGATTCTTGTACTTAGATAGCTGAAGTTTTTACCCTTCCCATTAGAATATTGCTCTAGAGGAAAAAAGAAAAAGACCTATCAAGAAATTAGATGATGGTCATAATCAAACTGACACATCATAATTCTTTTTATTCCTATTTTTTTCTTAAAGGTAACAGACTGAGCTAATTTTTAATTAATTTTTCCCCCACCCCTAAAAAGTGGAAGATAGGTTTGGGTATAAATTAATTATTTGTTTCCTTCTATGGTGAGTAATCAGTGCATGTCTTATTAAACACCTAATAATTATTAACATACTAGAAAAAAAAAAGGATTCCTAGAGTGAGTCACCAATATGGTTAATTAGCTTATATGTGGGTACATAGGCAACAGCTGGTTTAGTTGTGTAACTCCACAAATTAACTATCTTAACCACATGCTTAATTCACAAAAAGAATTTAATTATCAAAGTCTTAGTTTCACTACCTATTCAATACTGAGTAAAAATTCCAGGTATGAACATTTCTAGTAACGAAGTAGATTCCACCTCACTCATACTTAACTTTCTAAATTTAAGTGAAATATATACAATACACATCATGAAGTGATCCAGACTATTCTACACTATATTTCTAACTTGAGAGGTTGCAGTTACTCAAATACTTTCACTTATACATTCTTTAAAAACTGTATTTCACCACATACTATAAATTTATAAGCAAGAATACTCAAAATAAATAACTACCAATTAAATAGGGGAACATCAAAAAATTCTTAAAATGCTTATAATTAAAGTAAAATGATGACCTTCGCGCCACTGAAACAAAGTTCCTTAAGACATAAGACAAAAATATAATTTAAAGGACTCGCAGGTAGAAAGAAACAGTCACAAATGTGGAATGAAACTGATGTAGAAGCACTGATATATCCTACAGATTAGTTGGGGATATAATGTCTTTGAAGACCAAGTGTAAAATAACCACCTTTATCTGAAAAATACCTATCATAATATTTTCACATAGGACATTTTTATAAAAACAAAACCCTAACATGTAATGGAATTTGAACTCAAAATTACTGCAAAGTTTGCTTATAGTCTGAATAAAAAAAGGCATTTCTATTAATGGATAGTATTTCATAGCTTAGTATTTCATAGCCTTACACTGTTACATGATTTTCCCCTTCTAAAATATATATTCAAATCAGGTATAAAGACCACATACTAAAAGTTGTATCATAGTGTTCATGCTATCTATAATGCCTACTACAAATGGCTGCTTTATGAAAAGGCACAAAATTGTAACTGGATGAATGAAAACTACTATCTGATATCTTTGCATATCAACAAAAACACATTATTAAACCAGAGGAAAATTCATTTTGTACCAATGTTTTAGGTTTGTTTCTGAAAATGTTATGAAATTTTACAGGTATTACTAAATTCTAACTAGAGTTCAAATGCTGTGATTTTTATTGAGGTGTCAACACTGCTACTACCAGTAGAATATGCAACTAAAAGAGACAAAAACCCAAAACTGAAGATTTTGGTAATCTACCTCTCATCTGGGATTCCTGGAGACATATCATTGCAATATATTTATAAGTTCATATGGTATGATCACAGTGTGTTAAGTACCTAGAAGCAGTAACATAGTAGTATCAGAATCACAGTCCTGAACTTTTATAGCAATAGTTAGTATGCGACCCTGAAAATTCTTATATAGAATTCACTACCTACAATGTAAACAGAACTCAATTATCTGTATGAAAGCAGAATTTTCTCCACATTAAGCATTAAAACCTGAGGATGAATGCAATACTTTAACTTAATGATCTGCTACATTTTAAAAAATGTATGATCCTGTTTCATTACTATAGTATTCTAAAACACTCCAAGTTAGAGTTGACTAACTCAAAGACTCAAGTACATGATACAATTATATAATTTTATATCAGTCTATGGTGGACTTACAATATCACCTAAGTCAAAGTTCACAATTCAGAAAACACAATTAATTCAAAAACAGGAGATTTTGGTAAAAATGAGATGACCATTGGTTTAGGCTAAGAGTGTGGGGTTAAGAAATCTAGATTTAAAGAAAACAAAAAAGTCCTCCAGTTGGGAAAATTACCTAATTTTATAGAAATAAGGAAATAAGCACAAAGTCATAGCTCCCTTCCTGGGGAAGTTTACATCTTAAGTTTCTGACTTCTAAATCACAAACTTAAAATAATGCTTAGTCACAATCAAAATCAGGTTAGAGATCTGCTACATTAACGATGGAAATTTCAAAAAAAAGAGCAATTTGTAAGAAAAATTAAAAGTTCTTTTAAGTAGGTTTGAAAGATAAGTCAAATTCAGAAAAGTCAATTTCTATACTACCACAGCTACTATGCACAATACATACTGCATTGAGTTGTAGGAAAAGTCATGACATATTTTTTCTGTTTCTCAAGCAAAAATGTGTCATGTCTTTTTTGATAACCCAGTATTTACAATGTAAGAGACCTAAAGGCAACATTGATGAAAGCCATTCTAGATTTTAAAATTATATCAAAAATCTTTTCTGCATTATAGTAATTTCCTTTGGACTCATTAAAGGAAATGTGGGTTTCAAAATCCTATCTGTTGCAGTATTTAAACAGCTATAGCCTTCAACACATTTTTATGTATATGTTCCTACTTTATTTTTCAAAAGTAATTTGCCAGTCAGTTGCATATCTATATAATTTGGGGGGTACTTTTTTTATACAGACACATGAAAGAATGTTCAACATCACTTATTATAAGGGACTATTTTATATACATTACAAAAAGGCTAACAATTTAGCATCTAAAGTAAATAGACTCTAACTTTTATAATTCTTAGGATAAGTTTTAAATGGTCTCAAAAATAGATTTGGAAAGATTTAAACTCCAGATCATTCAAAAAATATTTCACTATTAAATAATGCAGTTGGTAGCATTTAAAACTGATTCATAAGACAGAATGGAACAAATGCTCATAAATAAAAACTTTAAAACTCAAGCAGTCTTTGTTTATACACAAAATATGTAAATATAGTTTTCATTGTAGATGGGAAATAAGCTATGTTCATGATGTTCTATATCTGAAAACTGTCAATTACAGAACTAATATTGAACAGCTATAAAGTCCATTTTTAAATTAACTTTGATGTTAATAATTAACATGATTTACAATGTTTTCTTAGGTTTTATAATTCAGATGTATTTCAAGTTTTCATTTTTACATGCAAAGAATTTAGAATCAGAAATTAAACTGAGGCAGAAATGAAATTAGGAAACCAGTCACCTCACATTTTAGTGTTGTCTCAGCTGCATTAAAATGTATTTATATTTGCAAGTAACAAAAAAAATGCTGTGTAAATATTAGAGAACATACTTAGGTAAAGATGATTAAAAGGTATAACTAGCACTAAATGTCATTAGAAAATTATGCCCATTTTGAATGCATCACACTATTTTTTCACAGACCTCAAAATTAAAGGCACTCAGCCCACTTTCAAAAACAGTAATCAAACATTAGTATGAATTATAACCCCATGAATCTCCACAATAATGCCTAGGTAGTATTTGACTCAATTGAAGGTGATACTTAATTAGGTTTGTAATATAGCAATTTAATTTACTCTTTTGTAGTATATCACAGTTTTCTTTTCAAGCTTAATTACCTAAATGTTAAGTCTTCTGTAATAGTTAACTGTAAGAGATAACTAGTTAAAATTTTTGAACTAGAATGCTAAGAAAACATTCACAGAAAATTAAAAAAAAAAAAAAAGGCCCATATTTGGATTTTAACGTATGATGGTCTTTATTTACAACTTTATTGGCAAAAAAGAAGAGTGAAAAGTTTAAACAATTTAACACAGGGCATTGCAGCTGATCCTGTCAGATTTCATTTTAAATGAGCTTCATTTTAAATGTCCATCTAATTATCAAGATATACAATACTGAATCTGTGTACGCAGTTTCCTTCCTGAAGTACAGTGCTCTATTTTAGGCATCCGTTTAAACATATAAATGCAAACGAAATGAAATCACTCATTAAAACTGCATTAAATGGAGGGTATTTAATTTTAAATTTATGTTGTCCTTATAATAACACATGCCCAATGAAAATCAAAAGCTGGAAAAGCAGTTACACTTCCTACTTGAGTGAACAGTTACATCAATTATTTTCTGTAATGACCATTATATTTTGAATTTATCATGAACTACTCTGAACTTACTATGAGATGCAGCCAAAGTCAGAAGACAAGACGTAGGAAGAATATTCCTTTTTTGGAGGAGAGCAAGCCCTCCAGAATCAGCATGGGAAATAAACATCCTGTTTGAAGAATTCTAGGTGGAAAGAAATTAATGTAGTCAATTTCAACTCATGCTGAGCTGACTTAATTTTTTCATTGACTTGTTTGGTGTCATTCTTCTAAGTCAAGTGTGTTTAATTCTTCTTCTAGTTCATCCAAATCTTCCCCAGTGAAAAGATTTTCATCAACAGGAACAGCATCAATGATTCCATTTTCCTGTCCCTCCCCTTCGTTGTCCTCTTCCATATCACTTCTTTCACCATTTTCAGCCCTACCTCCAGAAGCTTCACTTAATTTGTTTTCTAAAAATAAAAATTGAAATCAATAAGGCCTAGAAACAGAAAACACTATTCCATTAGCAACTGAAAGTCACAGACTGATATTATGCCATCTCTTTTCTTTTCTTTGTGAGAGCCTTGTCTGGGGTTACTCTAGCAAAAATTGATCTTTTCCTAAATTATATCCAGTATAAACTATAGCTATCTGACGGCCTCCTACTCTTGGGCAAAATTTACCTTATGCATACCTTATACAACTTTGTGTTCCCTACATGACCCAGAAATTAGGCATTTAACTTTCACATATTTTGTTAGAAGAATTGGTTATGAAATAAACTTCACAATATAAGTAGCTTTTGGTTTTGCAGATAGTAGTTAAAAATCACAGTTGTAATGCTGTAAATATTAAATGAGAATCTGAAACATTTCACCGTCAACAAATTGTGAAAAAGGAATCTAGGGCTATGCAGGTACTTTTGCTTACAGGCTAGAAATGACTAAGAACACAAAATGCTGCCTTATTCAATGACACCAACTCTCACACAAAGAATTTTTAATTAGCTTAATTTAGATGTTGGCTATTTTAAACATCGCCTATGACAAAATCTTGGGTATTCTAATCTGAAGTACTTGCAATTATGCCTACAGTCACCAAAGTCCTGCTTTTACAAGGAGTAAATCGGTCTGCAGACTGCATTAAGATGATAGTCTGATTCCATTCTCAGATCTCAGGAGGACAGACAAGCTTTTCAAGTTGCAACTTGTATGTCTTTTATTTTAAAAATAATGATTTTCTTCTTTCTCAACTTCTACCTTAATTGGTACTGTCTGCATCTTCCTCCCATCTCAATCAACCATGTCATACTTTTACTTTTCTCTTCAAACCTTTCACCCAAAGAACAATTAGATACAAATTATAGCCAACAATCCTTATCTCCAAATACACCCAGCCAACCATCTCATTAATGTTCTTAACTATATTTCCAGATCTTGCTTCTCTAAAGTCCTTTCATCTTTAATTTTACCTCTTCACTCAGATCCTCTCTCTTTGGCCTCCATATATATTTAAGTCTTTCCTCAGACTTGTTCCCAAGTTTTTGTTCTTTTGCTTATTTGAAAACAATGGTGTCTGCAGCATATTGAAGAATGTCCTCACCCTGTGCATTATGCCTAGGTGAGCTCAATCCCTCTCAACATTAATGAAGAGGACTTTCAAACCTTTTTCTCCTGCATATATCCATATAATATCTAGACCATGCCAACTGTGATAAATGCATGAGATCCTAAGCTACAAATCCAAATTAACTTTGTTCCCTTCTGACTTCATTGAATGACTGATATTCATACAGTCATTAAATTCTTTAGCCTCCACTACTTTGCACTTTTATATCCCACCAAATTACACCTTTATGTTATATAGTCTGGTTTCTGTATCTGATTTTCTCAAGCCAAAATGAAGTCTCTTTAGATGGCTTTCTAATATTTAGAATTACACATAAGTTAGTATACTTACCATCTTTTTCTGAAGTATATGTGCTGAATCTTTCAAGACTGGCTACAGTAATACCTGTCTCATCTACAGCTCTTGGGATGTACAGGCTTAAATCTATATCATTTATGCTCACTGAATCATCAACCTTTAAAAACATAAAACAGAACATTGTTATAAATAAGAACTGTTTTCATAAAATTACTTGCGTTTATTCCTCTAATACTTATTTTTTTTTAAGATTTTATTATTTATTTATGCATAAAGAACTGTGGTACAGGCCAAAGGTACAGGGGTCATGAAAGGATTCACCAGAGTCAGAGTGGGGAGAAGAACAGGCAGACTGATGAAGTACACTGCTGAGGGGAGCAGTGGGCAAGACAGGGGAAGTCTGCTGCACTATGTGGGTCACCTTCCGAGTGGGGAATCAAACTTGCACCAAAGCAGCCTCAGCCAGCTTTGCAGTGCTATGCTTTAAACTGCTGCGCCACCAGGGAGGGCCCATCGCTAATACTTATCTTAATGGATAAAAAGATTACTAATGTCAAGTGAAAACAAATGATTAAGAATTGCTAAATTTTACTTCTTTGCCCAAATGTCTTGAAAAGAGTAGAGTAATGCCATATTTGAACCTTTTTACTGACATTACATTTTTACATACAGAGTATGTTTATCATCTTTTACCTTAGAAGACAGAAGTTATAATTTTATAATCACACAGAAAGTGAACGATTAGCTATCTGCAATTACTAAGCAATTCTGCAAACAAATAATCCTGCTGTTGCTTGCTATTCTTTATTTTTAGTATCTCTTGTCCCATGCTTGCTATTGGGACAAAATATACAAAAACAAAGAAATAAACAAAAAAGCCCCACAATTTTTTCTTTAGAGGGAAATAACAGTTTCTATAGCTAATATGTATAGTACTTATGTATAAAAAGCACTATTTGAAATTCTCCAAGAATCATAAAAATTATATATTAAATGCCTATTAAGTTCCGTGTGATGTATGGTCTAGCGTTATGCAGAGGATAATGTCCCAGAGTCCATGCCACGCTCTTGTCTTTCTCTTGTTGCTGAAAACCAACATGCGAAGATAAGGGACAAAGACCTCCACCCTTACCTCATCACCACCTGTTCCCTGGGTGTAACGGGTATCATCTGCTTCCTCATCATCATCATCAACCAGTTCAGGACGAAATTCAAACACCTCACGACCACTGATCTGATTCAAGACATAAAAATATTTCACTTAGGATAAAATTCAAAATTTCATGGTGACTGATTTTAGACAGCATATGATTCAGTAAATGTAAACCTTGTTTGACACAGAAATGGTAAAATGAAAGGAGTGAAGAAATTATTCATGAGAATCTGAAACATACCACTAGTGCTTTCCCTGCTTTGAAGTCTGCTTTCCTTCTTTCCATATCTTGCTCAAGTTTATCAATCTTTTCTTGTCTTTTCCTTTTTTTCCATGCAAGAAAAGATTCTAGGGTGATTTTGGTTACATTTGGCCCTAGGGCAGAACGCTGCAAAGACAAAAAAGTTAATTTCCCACCCTAGAGTTATATACAATAGCATTTAACAGTTCTGTGTTTGTTTTTAAATGCAGTTAAGTTCTTGCTCATGACTCTTATGATTGAAGACAAATGAAATGGGTTTTTATTTAGCAAATGAGGGTGCAGAGATAAACATTTCCAAAAATATTCTGAACTAAATTTTTTTTCAAAATTTAAGGTGAGTAAAACTTATCATGACAAATTATTTAATATGACTGCTGAAAAATGATAAATATGAAAAGTGCTATGACAATATCCAACTTTTGTGTCCTTCAAGGTCAATGACCAATAAATCCACCAGGTATTAAATGTTAAGACATATGTCAACACACTGACCTCCACAAATAAGCAGAGGATAAAAGGCAATTTACCAAAGGTTTACAACTGAGATGAATACAAATAGTCTTACATATATCTATCTGATTCTCAACTCTACCTTTTCTATTACATTCCCTCCAATATGAGGCACCAAACAATATGCTTGTTAATGGACATATGCATGTCACCCTAACATTATACAGTTACACATTCTTTCAAGACAAGCAAAAGGGACAGTTTTGAAATACACAACCCTAAATCTAGTATTTCTAATAATCTCAATGTTTCTATGTCACTTCAATAACCATATTTGGTTACTCACTATCTTTCCTGCTAACTCATAAAATAAAAACTTTTGTGTGGACCTACGGTGAGTAGCTAAATATCCACTTCAATTACTCATGCCCCTATGAACACAATAAATGTCTTTAAGAACAGGAATGATAAAACATTATTTAAAAATGTTGTCTTCCGCACATGTTAATAAGAAAATGGTAAGAATGTAAAGATACAAGAGAAAACATCTAAAACTTCAAGTTCAAATCAATCAGAATATTGAGTAAAGCATGTTAAGAACTGATAAATAGTATATCAATCTTATGGAAACAACTTATTTGATAAGTTAATTGTTGGACCTACATAAGGCAACTCTTGAGAAAAAGGCATTAATATTTTTCTCCTATCATACCAATAAGTTATTGCCCCCAAGTGGCAGATATCAGAACTTCACAATAAATATTGCTTAAGCTTCTTTACAAGTAAAGATAGTAATTACCTCTCTTTCAATTAGATCTTCTAATGAAATTTCATCTTCTTTCTCCTCTTTCTTTTTATCTTTTTTCAACACAAATCCAGGAGGAAGTGCATGCCGATACATGCAATTATCACCCCCTCCAGGGCATACCCAAAACCAGCCATATTTATTGTTTTCAATAGCTTCAAGAAAATGCTTGCACACCTACAAAGGAAATTTAAACATAAGTAGTGGCTCAGTAGAGTTCATTTCCAAACAATTAAGTGTTTGGAACAAGTACATTCTTATCACATATTTAGGCTAACCAATTATGTACACAGTATCCTTGTGTGTGTGTACATTAAATACTTAATACCACAAAAAATTAGCTTTAGAAAAACCTATATAAAATTTCTATAATCAACATGGTTCTTAATTCTGAATTACACAAAAAGCACTTGCTAGGCCCTCCCTGGTGGCGCAGCGGATTAAAGCACAGCACTGAGAAGCTAAAGCTACTTCCGCATGAGTTCGATTCCCGCCTGCCCTGGAGGTGACCACATGGCGTAGCAGACCTCTCCTGATCCGCCCACTGCTCCCCTCAGCAGTGTACTTCGTCGATCTGCCTGTTCTGCTCCCAACTCTGTCTCTGGTGAAGCCTCTCACCACCCCTGAGCCTCTGGCCTGTACCCCAGTTCTGTATGCACAAATAAATAAATCTTAAAAAAAAAAAAAATCACTTGCTAGATTAGACTTTGTAATTATAATGCCAAAGACTGATTTTTAAAAAGAGAAAACAGAGATGGTCATTAAAAAAAAAATTATTTTGGTTTGGTCTTTTCTAAAAATTAATCACATATAGTGATGATATAAAAAAGGAGTTTCTTATACCTATGAAGAAAAAAAACACAAAAGGAATACAAAGGCTAGTGATCCTCCATAACACAATGGGTACAAGATGCAATATAGTGAAGCTTCAGGTAATAAATTTTGCAAATATGAAGGAAGATTGAATAAACAACATTATTTTACCCCCCAAATACAAAAGATTTAAGTGAAACTAAGACTTTTTTCTGGCATTGCAAAGTTTTTACCATAACTACAATACACTAACATGAAAACAGGATCTGAGAAATAAGGCACCAAATTCCAAGAGTACATTTCCTAAGGAGAGCCATAACCTACAAAAGCTCATTTGGGAATTGGTATGTAACAGTATTTTCACTTTGATTTAAAATGTCTCCCTATCACGAAAACTGAAGCTATTATTATTAAACAGTTCTTTTTTCATTCATTTTGCACAGAAAGTAACAATTCTTATCTGAATGTATCATTGTGTTCATCTTTACTTGACAAAATATGTCCCTCTCAAACAATGGGGTTGGAAGCATTTAGTCACTTGGTTTTCAAAGGATATTTCCAAACAAGAATCTAAGTTCATATATAACTTACACTTGTAAATTCCAAAAACATAACTTGATGCACTGTATCTTTTGAAAAGATTCAGGAGAAAATAACAAATACCTTGCTACATATTTCTCTCTAATGATAAATACCACAGCAACTCAATTCAAGAAAAGGACATACTATTTGAGTTTTTGGTTTTTTCTTTTCCGCCTCACCGTGCTTCTTGTTCACTACTTCTTCCAGTTTTTTCTCATCCCAATTATCCATAGTATCTAAATAAAAGAGACATGAAGACTTAAGTACTCCAATTTTTTCTATTACATGATCTACTGTTCCAAAACACTGCATATCTCCTTAGACAGTAGATATTACAAGTCTTAAGACTCAGCATCTTTTCTTTAAAACACCCTGGTGGTGCACTGGTGAAAGTACAGCACTATGAAGCTATCCATAACCACTGCACCACAAGTTCAATTCCTGGACAGGGAGCTGACCCACATGGTGTGGCGGACCTCTCTTGATTCACCCACTATTCCCCCTCAGCAGTGTATTTCAGTACATCTGCCTATTCTGCTCCTCACTCTGTCTCTGGTGAATCCTCTTAGCCCCCTCACCTCTGATCTGTACCCCATTTCTTGTATACATACATACATATGTCTTTAAAAACAAACAAAATACTTTGAGGTAGGTATAAACAATGTTGCATCTTTTCAAAAAAATTCTAACAAGTTTAGACAAATAAGGAAGTTAAGAGTTGGTGGCCTCTCTGGTGGTACAAAGAGTTAATGTCTTAGCACTTTGCAGCTATCCATAGCCACTGCAGCCTGAGATCAAAAGTTCAATCCCTGGCCAAGGAGCTAACCCAAAGGGTACAGCAGACCTCTCCTGTCTCTCCCGCTGCAACCTTCAGTATTTTTCAGTCAATCTGCCTGTTCTGTTCCCCACTCTATCTCTGGTGAGTCCTCTCCCGTTCCTTCCCCCTTCCCCGGGTCCTGTACCCCAGTTCTTATATGCACAAATAATTTTTTTTTAAAAAAAATAAAAGAGAGAAAGTAGAGTTGGTTTCTAAGACTTTCATTTGTTTACTTAAAGGGCATTATGTGGTAAATTTAGATTTTATGAAAAAACAATCATTGTTTGCATAGCCCTAGTTAAGACTGATCTATTCTTCAAGCTACTAAATATCTTACTAATAACAAGTCAAAAGTAATATGCATTTTAAGAGAAACCTCTTTAAAATACCTTTTTCAAGTTCTTCATCTCTTGCATCAATGTAAACACTTCGCTTTTCACACTTTCTCTCCAGCGTCAAGTCATGAGAGAACTTACACTTATCTCCTTTAGTACACTGTCCTTGCTTGAAGAATGCACACACAACAGATTTGGGATCTGCACCTATGTCAAATGAAATACGGTATTTGAATTATAATTTGCCACATCATGAAGCATACAACTTTTATCTATGATAAAATTAAGTTTGATTAACTTGTTAATTTTCATTTACTGATTTGGGAGGAAAGTACCATTTATAGGAGACTTGTAAGAAATTTTCTCAAAGTTCTTTCTATGGCATTTTATGTCTTTTTTTTTTTAAACTTTTACCAAAAAAGAGGGCAGAGAATTGGAAAGCAAATAAACCCTTAAGTTATTCCATAGTCACTTTTCTAGTTGGGAGAGTCAATGGGGCAGGAGATAAGAATTATAAACAGAGGTATACTTCTAAGAATTAATCCAAATAGGTCTGCCTTAGCTACTACCAAAGACTGGATATTAAAAATCAACTAGCAGATTTTCTTCAATCTCTAATTTCACTTAAGTAAGGGGTTAACTGCTGGAGTGATAGATGCACAATGATATAAGCTATGCACATATAAAGGAACATCACTGATACAATTCTGACAAAAGGACTGTTATATTCATAGAAGAAACATCTGGCTTATAATGAGAAAGCAGATGAAAAACAATGAAGAACTTTTAAATAAGAATTACATTTGATGAAAAACATCACTGTGGGCCCTCCCTGGTGGCACTAAGGGTTAAAATGCAGCAGTGACTGGTGGGAATGCAAACTATGGAAAACTGTTTGAAAGTTCCTCAAACTGCTAAACACGGAGTTCCATATGACCCAGCAATCCCACTCCTAGGTATCTACCCAAAAGACACAAAAAAACTGATTCAAAAAGATACTTGCACCACCCATGTTTATTGCTGCATTATTTACAATTGGAAAGACATGGAAACAGCCCAAATGTCCAAAAGTGGATGACTGGATTAAAAAGATGTGGTACATATACACAAAGGAATATTACTCAGCAACCAAATAAAAGAAACACATGTCCTTTGCAGCAACATGGATGGAGGTCACGCTTAGTGAAATAAGCCAGAAAGAAAAGGAAAAATACCAAATGGCTTCACTCATAGCAGGAGTAAAACGGAGGTGAGAAAATAATAATAATAATAATGAACAGTTATATACCAGAAACCATTTATAGGGGTGGAGTGGGGAATGGGATCAAAAACAGTGGGGGGAGGGAAATGCATTGGACTCTGGTGATGGCACATGGGTGATTTGGTGATGGGAAGCCCAAGGAGATTACAACTGAGATTGAAAAATGCACAAAATGAATTAAAAAATAAACTATTATACTATTAAAAAAAAAATGCAGCTGTGAGAAGCTAGTTTCTGTTCTATAGGGCAAGTATGGGCCCAGGCCAGGGAGGTGACCCACATGGTGTGGCAGACCTCGCCTTTCTCACCTGCTGCTCCCCTCAGCAGTGTACTTTGTTGATCTGCCTGTTCTGCTCTCTACTCTGTCTTTGGTGAATCCTTACAGTCCCTGCATCTCTGGTTTGTACCCTAGTTCGTATGCACAAGTAAGTAAATCTTAAAAAATGATAATTAAAAAAACCTGAAATTTAAAGTTTACCTTTACTTATTTTTTGGGCAGCAACTACAGGTTTGAATAGTTCGTTTAGCTCTTGTAATTCTTTCTTCTTATCATCTTTCTTCAATTTCTTTTCAGCTTCACTTTGTGCTACCTGTAATATATAAATGTGATTTCATATAATAAAACTGTTTTCCCCACTATATATAAAAATATAGTAATTTATCTCAAACTTAACAAGTAAATGTATATACATGTACGTAGTCCTTACACCTCTGAACATTGCAGTATTAAATGATATGGTTAAACTATTAAATAAGAGGGCTAAATCTATAATGACTCAAAAATCTAAAAAACAAAACAAAAACCCCAACAATAAATAGTACCATGCCAAGTTGAATGCAGGTTCAAAAGTTTAGTGATAAGCACTTTTTTAAAAAGATTTATTTATTTATGCATACAGAACTGTGGTACAGGCCAGAAGTGTGGGGGGTGAGAGGATTTACAAGAGGTAGAATGGGGAGCAGAACAGGCAGACTGTTGAAATATACTGCTGAGGGGAGTAGTGTGTAGGCCAGGAGAGGTCTGCTGTGCCATGTGGGTCACCCCCTGCCCAGGGATTGAACTCGTGCTGCAGTGGCTGCGACAGCTTCATAATGCTGTGGATAAGCACTTTTTTAAGCACTTTCTATATGCCCAGCATTTTTAGCAAATGGTTCTCAACTCTGATTTTTTTTTTTGTGACAACACACTCCCAGAAACATGGGTGCATGTTGAAGAGATGCAAACCTCCTGAAATGTGCATTCTCACAAATAACTACCAAAATACAGTAATCTTGTGGAAAAAAAAAAAAAAAAACACTTGGCTAGGTCAATGTGGGAGATTAAAACGAAACAAACATGACATTTTTTGGTCTAGGCACACAATTTACATACCTAATATGACTAGAAGATTCATCCAAACATTTATATGTCAGGTCCTAAGTTAGATGACAGGAAATATAAAGATGAAAAGATAAAGATGCTTATGTAAAGCTCAGAATCTAGTGGACAGACATGTCAACCTCTATAAAATTACATAGGGTGCTTTGAGAACATGGAGCCCCTATATGCCTAGGAAAATTAGACTAAGTTAAAACTTTATTGATGAATTCTTCAGATAGGCAAGAAAAGGAGTAAAGAGACAGTCAATGCAAAAATATAGAAGACAGAAGAAACAAGGCATGAGAAACATGAATGAGAAAAATGGACTATTTCAGTAGTGACAGGGTAAAACTCATGATTTAAAGTAATCCAGTGACACAAATGGGCCATATTTTATAAGATTCAAGATGATAACTTAGTGAAGGGTCAAGGAGGGGTCCAAGAATAAAGTCTAGGACAACCAAGAGGTTATTACAATTGCTGTAGGCAGGAAAACACAAGCGCTTAAAATGGGTATTTAAAACAAGGCTGGAAAAAAGGTGAGAAAAGAGCTCTTTAAGAAGTATAAGTGATGAGGCGAAAACTCAGTATCAAGTATAAGAGACAGGGAGGAGTTTAAGATTATCATATGTATTGCTATGTTTCTGGATCTTTTCATGTGCTATTAAACCAGACAGGAAATACAGGAGGAACAGGTTTCAGGAAAGGTGACAAATATTCAGTGCTGAAAATACTAAGTATGAGATTCTATTTAGAAAATAGCTAGACATGGACCTTGGTTCCTGGTTTGAAGTAAAGATTTTAGAAAGAGTTGTTTATGTCTAATAATTAGAGATTATACAAAATACAAAAGTGACAAGAGCAGAAGACAGTGCCCTGAAGACCCTTAAAAAACACATTAAAGGGATGAAGAAACATTAAAGAGATAGGTAGGTATTCAGAACAAACAAGTATTCAAAAAGAATAAATTTTAGGAAGGAAATGGCTAAATCCTATAATAGTAAACACATTCCAAAATCCCAACTGTGACCATGAAGTGGATGTATTTAACAGAAAAATGGGGAAATATTTTAAAAAGAAAAAATTTAAGTCAATTTATTTTTAATAGAAGTATCCTCTAGTCATCTCAAACATCTGTGGGGGCTTAGAGCAAGAACACAATGAAAGTCAACAATCTATCTGTAAACACTTTAAAGTTAGAAATCAAATAAATGTTAAATAAAATACAACTTATCACCTAATAAATGTAACTTATCACTTAGGGCAGGTTCATATTAAAAATGCTCAGGGTGGGCCTCCTGGTGACTTTGGGTTAAGTCTTAGTGATATGCTATTACCACACAGGGAGCTGACCCACATGGTATGGCAGCCCTCTCCTGTCTTGCCTGCTGCTCCCTTAGCAGTGTATTTCAGTAAATCCACCTGTTCTGCTCCCAATGTTTTTGGTGACTCTACTCACCCTCCACACTTCTGGTCTGCACTCCAGTTCTTTAATGCATAAAAAAATAAATAAATGCTCAGGTTACTTTGAGTTTCACAGTGGAGCATGGCAGTAAAACGAGTAATCCTGACGCCGCCTCTTCTCACACCCACTGTGCTTGTGAGCAGAAAGGAGGTGTCAGGGAGGACATTCTATGGATCCAGGACTGTACACACGTCTAGCACACATCTCTTCTTTAACCAGGTTCAGGCATACTGTCTGAGCGGTAGATCCTAAGATGGACATTGGATTGCATAACCTGTGTGGGCATTGGATTGCATAACCTGGGCTGCTGTCAGGGGTGTACACACTCTGGATGGTTTCACCAAATCCTTGCCTGAGATAGCACTCTTACAGCATAGTACCGAGGATGGGGCATCTCTTGGCTCTAAAAGCAGGACTGCTGTTCATTCCCCAATGTTAAATATAGTGGTAAGGTATCTCATGTTCCCAGATAAAGGCTCAGGTACCCATGAAATTATCAAAAAATGTAATGTGCTATTAAGCCTAACTACTATCACAGATTTTATGGCTTTCTTAAGTCTCTGATATCTGAAATTAGCAGTCAATACCATCCCTCTAAAAGAAATAGGAAAAATGGGAACAGGATTGAAAAAGGGGATAAAGGAAGAAAGTAACTTCTTGTTACAAAACTCAATTATGTAAGAAGACATGTTATTGCCTCATTAAACCATCATAGTAACCTCAAAAAAAAAAAAATGTCCTTACTCTATATAGATAAAAGACCAATGCTGCTAAACAATTTAAAGATTATATTCAAGATCTGACCCCAAGGTCAGATCATATATTTTAATAAAACCAGGCTACTACACTAACAGTATGAAAAATCAATATATTTTAGAATTAGACTAGAACTGTATATAAGAGGATGGAGAGTATAGGGCAGGCAACAACTTGTTCAGACAGCATGAAAGAGAGAGATTTGTTTAATGTAGGGGTTAGCCATCTCACAAATATATATCCTGACATCCTCAGATAAAACAATTACTTTCTGAAAAAGTATTTTCAAAAACAAAGAATCCTAAAGTTAAGGAATTAAAAGATCTAAAGAATCTATATAGGCTCAGCTTTTTTGAGTAACTTGTTAATGTTGGGTTTCCCTGGTGGTGCAGGGGTTAGAGTCTTACTGCTATCAAGCAATCCCCAGCCACTGCAGCACTGCACAAGTTTGATCCCTAACCAGGGAGCTAACCCACATGGCTCAGCAGACCTCTCCTGCTGTTCTCTTCAACAGTTTATTATTTTAGTATATCTGACTGGTCTGCTTTACACTGTCTCAGGTGAATCCTCTCACCCACTCTCCACCTTTGGCCTACACCCCAGTTCTTATACGTATAAATAAGTAAAAAGTAAAGCTTTTAAAAAATAACTTTTTAATGGACTAATTTCAATATTCACATTGAAGAATAAATACCTACAAATAGTTGAGAAAAACAGAAATGGAACAATACTTGGGAAGGGCGGGGAAGACTTGCCTTAAGAGCTAACAGAATGTTAATAGGCCATTACAAAAAATTCAATTTGACACTGGTTTAGGGAAAGATAACAAAGAGATAAGAAAAGAGAATCCAAAAATAGATCCTATATATTTGAAACTTTAATATATTTCAATAGTGGCATTTTATTTCAGTGGGATAAATGTTGACATAACTGATGATTCCTTTGAAATGAACACAGCACAGAAAATTAATTTATATGACAAACTACAGATTGCAAAAATAAAATAGAAAAAAAAGGTACAGGAAATGCAGTCTACCTAGTAGGCAAGAGAGAGCATTTAACCATAGTAAAGCTAGACATACTTGACAATATGAAAATTAAAAATTATTGTATAGCAAAATGCAGCTAAAACACCACCTATTATATATAATATATGCATAATATGTATAAATATTATATATGTATATTAGAAAAAGGGCATCTCTTATTAATTCACAAGAAAAATCCAGATAACTAAAAATAGTAAGATGTGATAAGGTAAGTCAGAGAAGGACAAACTCTGTCAACAAGCAAATGTAAATATACTCAAATTCACTAGCAGTGAGGGAAACAAAGTAAAAATGAGGTATCAGACTTAACAAATTAGAAAATAAATTAGCTCTTTAATACCTATTACTCATGGACTCTGAGTAAGTGAAATATAATTAGGCAAATTTATTTAAAATTAGAAACCCCCAATATAGAAACATGTGACTAAATTATGCCAAATAAATAAAAGCAACACGCACGTAAGAACATAGGGGTATTTCTGATAGACTAAGTCTAAGGCATATGGATGAGAACAATGAGAATGAAGTGGGGCTGAGGATAAATTAAAGCACAACGGCCTATGACAGAGGACTATGGGTGCTTTGGTGGTAGGAGAGCAACCTGAAAATACACCTGAGGGAAAATCCTATACTTTGGAAACAAAGTTCATCAGTTACGAGCTGAATGGACATAATTTATCTACACTGTAGAATAATGTGCAGCCACTAGAATAAATTATAGTTTTAGCAAATGGATTGGAAGATTATCTGAGATACTGCTGAATAAGAAAGACAAGATACAGAATAGTCTGAGTAGGATTCCACTCTGAAATACAATTATCAAATATTTTTGTCTACAACAAGTTATACATGTATTAAACCCATAAGAAGGAAACACAGAAATTTAAGTTATTTACCTGACGTGGATTTTGTTGACCAAATTTAACTTGATGAGTAACAGCCTTGATAAACTTCTGTTGCTTTGCTCCTTTCTTATTCTTGAGACCAAAAGTTTTGTCCTAAACAAAAAAAGTATAGAAATATCTTAGCAATCTATATTATTTTATCTATTTTTCCAATCACATCTAAATATTGTCATTTATTTATTGATGAAAAATCATTATTGTGCAGTACATAGTCAAACTAAAACATCAAGTCAAGGCAACGTAAGAGCTCAAAATGTCACCCAGGAGTCTTTATAATTCAATACATACTTAAATCTGTTAGTCTATGTTTGGAATATTAGCTCTACAAGACAGGCAGAGTGGTTATAATACAGTAAGAAGTTCAATAGTCAAAATAAATTTAGAAAAATGCTTCATTAACAGTAATTTTTAATTGTTGAGTACAAGATATTTTATGTGTTTAACAGTGGGGATACCTTATTTGCAGTAATTCCATAACTTCTATTTCTTCAGTATGCATTTTTCTGAGAGTAGCCTGAGAGATCAAGTACTATAGAACACATGTTGGGGAATACTGCATAAGAAAGTATTTGTGTCATGTTGTTGTAAAAGTCATGACACATTTTTGCTTGAAAAACATAGAGAAAAATACATCTTGATTTCTCTGATAACCCAATATGTTGTCATTTCAGTATACTACTGAAATGTATACTCACTAATTTATGCTAATGGAAACATTAAAATTGAGGCATACTTAACTGAAAAGTAACACTATAATTAAATATAGAACATAGTTAATATAGTAATTTGGAAAAATTATTAATAACAGTTATGTTAGTTTAATAGATTAAACACTTATGGAGTGCTCTAGGTGCAAAGTACTAATGGATAGCTCTCACTCTCTCTCTCTCTATATATATATATATTAAAGATTTATTTATTTGTGCATACAGAACTGGGGGACAGGCCAGAGGTGCAAGGGCAGTGAGAAGATTCACCAGAAACAAAGTGGGGAGCAGAACAGGCTGAATGACGAAGTACACTGCTGAGGGGAGCAGTGGGCAGGTCAGGAGAGGTCTGTGGAGCAATGTGGATGGCCTCTGGAGCAGGCGGGGATCAAACTCATGCTGAAGTGGCTTTAGCTTCTCAGTGCTGTGCTTTAACCCGCTGTGCCACCAGGGAGGGCCCGGATAACTATATTTAATAAGGCTAAGTCTAAAAGCATTTAGAACCCTTTGCACAGGTGTGTGTGAGTGTATGCACACGCAGGCTATAGTGGGCTGCATAGTGTTTTACCCCCAGTTCAAGTCTACCAAGTATCTCAAAATGTGACTTTATTTAGAAATAGGTCTTTGCAAATAGTGAGTTGAAGGCACACTGGATTCCAAAGATTGGAATATTTTCAAGAGGAAAGGACACAAAACAGAAAACAATGTGAAGACAGGCATACAGACTGGAGTGACACAAATCTGAACCAAGGAATTCAAATGTCTGTGAGAGAAGTCACAGGAAACCAGAAAAAGCTAGGGGTAGATTTTTCCCCTAGAGCCTGTAGAACCTGATTCTGTCTACATATCTGTGAGAATAAATTTTTTTTAAATATTTATTTATTTATTTGTACAGAACTGGGGTACAGGCCAGAGATGTGGAGGGTGAGAGGATTCACCAGAGACAGAGTGGGGAGCAGAACAGGCAGATCGACGAAGCACACTGCTGAGGGGAGCAGCGGGTGGGTCAGGAGAGGTCTGCCACACCATGTGGTCACCTCCAGGGCAGGCGGGAATCGAACTCATGCGGAAGTGGCTTTAGCTTCTCAGTGCAGTGCTTTAACCCGCTGCGCTACCAGGGAGGGCCCGAGAATAAATTTTTATTGTACCAACTTGTGGTGATTTACTAAAGTACCTGCAAGAAACTAATACAGAAGGCTTAACTAGTGAGTGTCATCCTTTGGTGAAAGATGGCAAGGCTGTCAAGAAACCACTAAATACTGGCACCCCCACTCCACCTCACCCCCCAGAAGGATTTTCTAACTGCAATCCTCTATACTGTGAGAAGCCTGGGTATGGTACTGGAGAAGAGAGTGTGTATATGTGTGTGTGTCGGGGACGGGGGCGCGGGGGGTGGGGAAGTGTGAGGTTCATTACACATTTAGTCACCATTTCACAACCACAATTATTTAACCAGCCCTTTGTGCCTTCAGCTCCAGAAATGAGGCTTCCTGATTTCTGTTTCTCTCTTCTGTTACTTGCAGGGATATTTATCAGGCTTAGTGGTTACAACCAAGAACTATCAGCTACATCTACACTTTTAACCACCAGTTCTTAGCCTCTCACCTTCTGTATTACTTACTGCATGCTACTGTTGGGACTTTTCCAAAATTTTGCAGAGCAAGTCCATTTGTTTCTCAATGGTATACTCCTAGCTGGGTACTAAGGTTTGACTGCTTTGAGGTAAGCCAATTACAACACCCACTACCACATTTTCATCTGCTGAGGTTCAAAATTACAGATGTCTCCTAATTTCAAGTAGTTTGTAATATTCTCTCATTCTCTGTATGGGTGGATTTCAAAAAGGAAGAAAAGACAAAACAGCCTTTAATTCTGAAACTAACTTGAGTCCCTCTGAGAGCCCCACTGAAAAAGTTGTCTTTATTTGGTCCTTTTTCTAAGAGCTGAGGCAGGCAAATGAAAATATAGGTCAGAACACCTATGTATCTATGTGGACAAATCAGAAATGGAAAACATTGACAGAGTTTGAAAACATCCAACATAACTAGAGCATCTAAAACACTAGTAGAATTGGAAATGGCAAACAGCAGTGACAGAATTTGAAAACATTCCAACATAACATAATTAGAGCATCTCAAAAACTAGTAAAACTGACCTTTTAATGTTAAGATTGCAGAGCTCAAGAGATTTAGTTCTAAAAGGTTTTACTTTATCACATCTCTATCTATCCATACACCCAAATTTCATTTCCCCCACTTAAATATCTAGTATGTTTTAATATTCCATCATATTACAAAATGTGATGTGAATTTCCTACACTCTATGAATGTAAAAATGATGGTTAAGAGGCACAGGTTAGTCGAAATTCCCTGCACTGAGTGCTGTTGTTTTCAATGGCTGGCTTTTCTGGTTTACACTGGGAATTTAACACTCAATCCAATTAAAAGAAACAATGGTCAAAGATAATGTGACATAGACGAAGAAACGATCAGAGTGAACCAACTAGATGTGAAATGCCCTACTTTTCTTTTACAAATAGTGAGCTCTCATGAGGTGGAGGGAAAACTCTAGATAAAAATACCAAGGTCAAAGATACAACAGCTTTACCAGAGAAGAAAAAAACTAAGGCCCAACCCATGTCCCATAAGTCACTACAGAAAAAAAAAACAAACAAACAAACTAATAAGCAAACACAACTAGCAAGATAATAAGTGAAGACCCAAGAAAGGAAATGCCCTCTAAGAGCCCAGCTAGAACTCATGACAGCTCTGGAAAAGGTAAGATCCGATACCAGGAAAAGGTTTTTCAGGTTTAATCACACTGCGTTAGCACATAATTAACCAGTCTAAAGAGATAATAATAAATGACTTATATTTGGAAGTCTCTAGGTTGGAGTTCAGAAGTGATTCTTTCCCACAAAGGAGAAACTTATCTACCATTCACTAAACTGTTGAATATATTCTTTACAGAATCCTCTTAATCCTATGATATACTATCATCTCATTCTATTACTAGGGACACTGAAATTTATATAAGTTCAACAAATCTTTTCAAGTAACATTGTAGTAACAGGCAGGTTGAATAGTGTAATGATTTAAGAGTATAAATTTTGGAAATCAGTCAGACAGTTACAATACTAAACAGAATGGTGTAATTACCATCTTTGCCTCAGTTTCCTTATTTGTAAAATGGATCTCACTCTAACCTCTTAGGACTGTTGTGAAAGAGCTGTGTATCTTTATCACTTAGGGCTTTCCCCAAAATAGAGAGTTATGCCTGCCTTTTACTATTGAAATGATACAGATGTTATCTGAATTAAGGTATATTTGACTCCAAGCAAAATCCTTCTTTATACCATTAAAAATTACTTCCCTAAGAAATGTAGTTAGGTTTTAGTGTTGGTTGGTACACAAAACTTCCTAAGCACAGTACTGTATTGTGAATATGGGATATCAACAGCACATCTTGAAAATGGGAGGGTTTGTAATTTAGAACATTTCAAAGATGTCCTACACTTTTATTCAGGTTAGGAGGGTTTGTAATTTAGAACATTTCAAAGATGTCCTACACTTTTATTCAGGTTAGGAGGGTTTGTAATTTAGAACATTTCAAAGATGTCCTACACTTTTATTCAGGTTAGGACAGACCTTACCTAAAAATTAGCCTGGATTTGGGGGCAAGGGCATACAGTGGAAAGACAAGCAGTAACAATGAAGCTTAAATGATGGCTAAAATAAAATGAGGGAAACAGTTGTCCTCAGTGGATTAAAAGGTCCCACAGACTAAGTTATAAGGGAGGGTATTCAGAATTAGGAAATTAAATACAAAGGAGTTAAGAAATCAGATAGTTAATTCTAAGAAAAGGATGATTTGCCTATCTATGTACCCATGAGTCTTAACACTCAAAATTCCAGACATCACATAAAAACAACAGTAGGTATCTTATCCAAAGAACATAAAAACACTAACTCGAAAGGAAACCTGGAAGTCTTATGTTTACTGCAGCACTATTTACAATAACCAAGTAGGTGAACTGATCAAGAAGGTAAACTGATCAAGAAGATGTGGCATATGCACATAATGGAATCCTACTCAGCAGTCAAGAGATAAACTCATGCCATTTGATGGAACTGGAAGGAGTTATGCTAAGTGAAGTAAGTTAAGAGAAAGAAAAATAATGGATAGTTTCACATATATTTGTAATATAGAGAAACCCAAAAGGTTAGACAAAAGCAAACCCTGAAAGCTGACCACAGAACCCAAAAGTGAGGGGGAGGGGTAAAAACAGGAGGAGGAAAAATACATTGGCCTTCCAGAAGGGAGGGTATGGCAGTGTAGGAGCAGAGGGAATAGGGGAGTGATGAAATAATACATCTGCAGAGGTGTAAACCTACATACCGCTAATACATACTACCATGTAAATCAACATTATTTTAAATAATTTAAACTTACACACCCACAAAAAATAGTCACTGTAGGAAAAGAAACTAAACTGACTCTTTATTCCTGGCCCCTTCCCATTCTAAAGTAACCCTACTTCGTTCCTCAGGCTAGCCTCCACTCCTTAAAAAAAATGTTTGAAAAAAGGAAGAGTGGGAGTGCAGATCAACACAGTAAGGTAAGCAGAATTAGCAGTTTTAACTCAATTATCTCCCCTTCCTTGCAAATGCACTAATATGTTGTAATCAGGCAATGGATATTCTGTGCATTTTTTTCCCTTAATGGTTTATTGATTTGCCATTAGTTAACAATAACTACATAATCTGGGGATTAACTCACAGCTCCAAATGTACAAGTGTTTCATTAACCCCCTCACTAACCAACATTCTGTGTCACAACCTTATCACCACCTTCTCTTTCCTCCCCCCTAACTCCCATCCCCTCTGGTAACCTATTTTCCATAGTTAGTTTTTAACCAGCATTAATATTTAGATATTTAGATACACTGTTTTCTAAGCAGGCTGGATAACAGAATATTCATTATAAATCAAATGCACAATAAATGATGTAACTTAATACCACAGTTCACAACAGTCTGTGCCTCTGTAGTGGTAGCAAACATTCATACAACACACTTGGGTCTGCAAACTTTACTACCAATTTAAAAAAACAAAAAACAACAACAGAACTTCTCTATGTATATGTTAAATATGTATGTGGAGGAGAGAATATGCTTAATCTCACCACTATTAGGATATTCTGTCAAGGAATGCCAAAATGCCTTATCTTGCAATTTTCTTTAGAGAAGTTTTCATCTATGAAATTAAATTGCTTTCTCTTTACCTTAAAAGTACTCTTATGGGCCCTCCCTGGTAGTCAGTAGGTTGAAGCACTGCACTAAGAAGCTAAAGCCACTTCAGCACGAGTTGGATCCCTGCCTGATCCCTGCCTGTCCTGGAGGTGACCAAAGGAGATGACCACAAGTCTACCTGATCTGCTCCCTACTCTGTCTCTGGTGAAGCCTCTCACCACCTCTGCACCTCTCGCCTGTACCCCAGTTCTGTATGCATAAATAAATAAATGTGAAAAAAAAAAACTCTTATTAGAAGGTAAATGGAGCCATATATACCCATCAGTTTCAGTTGAAGGGATACTATGAATAACTTTCATGAAAATTTCTACTAATTAAAAAGAAAATAAACAGTTGTATATAGTTAAAGCTAATATGTGCTTTATATTGTCATGTAACATGTCTATATGGGAGTTTTACTTTGCATCATTATTTCATTAAATTAAAAGTTAACTTAATCTCAGTGAAGGAAAATCACAAGTAAAATGTCTTTATGCTTTACATAGCACTGAATGCCATCAGATTACCACCCCCAGAGATCTACCTAAATGCCAGCTGTACAGATTACTCAAAAGGGTGACAGCAGACACAGGTGTGATGGAAGTAATCATTCTTTTTAAAAATTTATGAATATGCTGCTTCATGACAGTTCTAAATAATAAAAACTGACAATCATAAGAGTTCTTCAGTTGGAATTTGGCCAAGGTTATCAGCCTTTCATAAACATGTTTTACTTAAACCAGCACACTGCAAAAAGTATGCGAAAAAATCACCCCCAAAAAGTTATAATTAGATTTATGTAAATAATCCCTTGGGACTTTAATTTTTATTTCCAAGGCTATAAATATGAAATATTAAAAACAATAATCACTTGTAAAACGTCTTGTCTCAAACACCCACCCGTATTTTGGTCCTGTCCAAATAAAAAGGAACTATTATTTTTTACAAAAGACGTTCTATTACTCAGATATACCTATTGCAGAAACATGTCATTGCCTTTTCCAATGACATCCGAAACTCACAAGAAACCATGTAACTTTGAAAAGGATTAATAAAAAGAACCGAGGGGAGGACTATCTTCGTGGAGGCTATATGATAGGTTTATGGAACCTAAATGTGGTTCAGACTATCTTCGTGGAGGCTATACGATAGGTTTAAGGAACCTAAATGTGGTTCATTCTTTCAAGGAAATTCATTGATAACACGTGTTAGAAGACAAACAAATTAAAACATTGAATGGCACTCCTCGGGCTCAACGCACTAAAATATATTCTCATAATTCTCACATTTGGGCACTGGCACTTAATTAGCGACACTGAAACCTAACCTCTTCAAAACTGTTCTATTAAATTTCGAATACATGTATCAAGCTCTACGTCGTGGGCTGCGACCCGACGAAGTCTCCATCCTCTAAGGGACTTTAAACACGTTTAGAGATGTCTCGAAAAAGGTCCCCAGCAGTCATTTATTGGCTCGAAATAAGTAACGACTACTCGTTGGTAAGAGGTAGAGAAACAGAAACACAAAGGCTCGTGGAGAGTAGGTCTTCGACAAAGACTTTGGCCCAAGCCCATTCCGCGTTGTTGTTTTTTTCAACACTAGCCTAGAAAACTTCAAATCAGAGGACCAGGAGGGACAAAACCCAGCGGTGGGCACCGGGGTCCTTCCGCGCCAGTCGGCGAAGGCCGGCGTGTGGGCGGAGAAGCAAAGGCTGGGTGTGGGGGCTCCAGCGGCGTCACTATCGCGATGAGAGGCAGCCGGCGTCACCACCGGGCAGGAGAATGGGCAGTGGGCTACACACGGCCAAAGGGAGGGACACGTGGCCCGGCAGACACGAGCCCGGGAGCCGGGAACCCGGAGGCTGCTCGGGGAGGGCTCGCGGCGTCGGTGGGGGAGGGGGCGGGTACTCACTTCGATAATCTTCTCCTTCTTTTTCTGCTCCGCCTTTTTGCTGCCCCCGGCCTGAGCCTGTTTCTTGGGGGGCATTGCGGAGACAGGTGGCACCGGCCAGGCTTAGGCGCAGCTGGACACCGTCAGGGGAAGCTGGCCCCTGGCAGGAGGTGCAGTAAGGCGCGGGCCGCCGTCGCCGCCGCACCACGGGAGAGCCAGTTGCTCACTCGCCGCCGAAATGCGGCCTTTGCGACAGGTCGCGGCCGCAGAGCATTGTGGGCAGTGAGGAGCGGCGCCCGGAAGCGGAGCTGCGCGTGCGCGTCTGCCGCGGCCGGCCAGGAGGGGGCAGGGACGGGACGTGGGAAAGTGACTACGCGTCACACGTGATGTAGCTCACCCACCTGGGTGAGCTTTTCTAGGCTGTCGCAGGTGGGAGGATGAAGCGGAAGGGGAGGAAGGGAGTTCACTCCCTTGTGACCGCCTTCCGCATTCTCTATCGCTGATAATCGGTAGCTCTTGTCGGTCTCTAACTCGCATGGAGTCTCGTCGGGCCGTCAGCGTCATGGTCCCAGCACCTTACCGATCCTGAGTGACCACCGAGCAACCGCAGCAGCTGGTTGAAGTGCCAGGTTACCGGGCCGGCCGACCAGCCAGTGCGATGTGCTCAGGTTCCTGTGAATGTTTTAGAAGAAATGAATGTCCTTCTTGTGAGACCTTTCACTGGAAGGGAGTTTGCAGATTGAACTCCTTGGACATACTCTAGCAAGTTATTTTCATATTAAGGAGAGTAGCTAGATAATTCCTAAAGATTGCTTGATAATGTGAAATTAATGACACCACTACATTTCAGACTGCAGTCTTCAGGATAAGTCCGGAAACTAGTTGACACATAACACACATTTTAATTATCACAGTTACATCGTGATTGTTATTGTTCCATTTTATAGATGAAGCACAGAAAGGAGGAAGCACGCCCAAGGTTACTGAGTTGGGAATTCCAACTTTTGCAGTATGACTTAAAAATCTAAATACTTATCACTAGCATAACAAATGTAGGTCACTCTTATAAAGGTACTCTATGAATGAGGCCCATTAATTTGTACAAATCAAAAGATTTGAAAATACACAATGACTGGCTGTCCCTTTTGTTCTATGATTATCTAAATTGTTTCCCTTGGTGAGAGAATTATGAAGTAGATAAATTATAAGTAACAAATATGGGACAGTTACAAAGAATCTGGAACTTCATAAATTCTAATTCCTAATCCTTAACTCCCCTCTCCCTCTGATTTTGCTTTTAAAAATTTTTTAAAAGATTTATTTATACGTATCACAACTGGGGTACAGGTCAGAGGAGGAGGAAGGGAAGGTTTCACTTGAGACAGAGTGGGGTATAGAACAGATAGATGTACTGAAATGCACTGCTGAGGGGAGCAGCAGACAAGACAGGAGAAGTCTGCTATGCCATATGGGTTAGTTCCCTGGTTGGGTATAGAACTGCTGCAGTGGCTATGGATAGATTCATAGTGCTGTACTTAACCCCTTGCACCAAAAGGGAGCCCCTGACCTTTGCTTTTTTTTCTGCAATGGAAGTGTGACCTTGGTAGAGAGAAAACACTCTAGCCTCAAGCAAGAAATAGACTAAATTACTAAATATGGCAGACAGTCTGATAGCCCTCTTCTTTCTGGTCATTTTTTTCATAGATAAAAAACAAGTCTAAATAAACGAATTTACTGTTTTCTGAAATAAGGCAATAGATGGTGGTATCCTATAGCAAATGGAAGCAGGACTAGGAATTCTATATTTTCTACTTTACAGCTTTAAAATTCAAACTAAACTTTCACAAAACTAAATTAAAGGTGTAGACCAGGGGTTACAATTTAAATGTCAGGCCTCTCTGATGGCCTGAGGGCTAAGACTCAGCATTACCACCAGACAGCCAGAGTTCAATCATATATGAGACCAAACCCACATATAGCACAGCAGACCACTCCTGTTTCACCCACTGCTCCCCTCAGCAGTGTATTTCAGTCAGTCTGCCCCGTTCTGCTCCCCACTCTGTTTCTGGTGAATCCTCTCTCTGACCTACATCCCAGTTCTTCTATAAATAAATAAAATCTCTAAAACAATATCCCCCCCCCATAATTATACTCCAGAAATAATGAATATAAACTTGGCTGTCAGGACAAATGAAATACAGTTGAGAACAGTGGGAGCACAAACTGGAGGTAAGTACCACCACCCACCTCCATGAAAGAATGAAACAAAGAAAAAATAATGGTGAACCCAGCTGGTACTTATTTCCTTCTTAAATCTATATTAATACA